TTGGATTTTCCAAAAATCTTTCATCCAGTTAATTGAAATAGAATGAATACATCTCATTTATATAATCTACAGAAGGCCATTGAAGCCTACCAATAAACCAAAATGTTTACATAACTTGGTTTTAGCTTGGAGTCGTCATTAAAAACTGACAAGATTTGTCAAATGATCGCACACAAATACACATGCACTAACTATTAAATTCGCATAAATTCACACGACAATAAACTGACACCCCGGCTTGGATTCACTATTAGAAACGAGAGCTACTTTTACGACATTTGTCAATTTGCATGGAACACATGCATTTAAACAACTAAGCACATACACACAGACAAACGTCAATTGACTTGTTTACATACAATAATTTCTATATTCACATTTGTTAGGGTCTGTATGGGGTATAGGAGGAGTTGGCATCCTCTTTGTGTTTTGACGTCTACTCGAAGTTGTGAAGAAGCTAAAATTCAGCCTCGACAGGCCTGCCAGATAGTGTGAAGATCTAAAGCTCACCACCATTTGGCAAGACCAGACGGAGGCTGTCTCGAGGTTTGGAGGGAGTGTGAAATTGTCACGAGGGTGAAATTGAGCTAGAAATGAGGAGATGTGAAGGCAGGGAGAAGAAGCCAAACAAATAGTTGTATCGAGGCTAGGGTTGTGGTAGGAGGAGAGTCGGAACTGGTGGTGCTCAAGCCCGTGCGCCACATAGACTGACCCAGAAGTGCTATCAAACATGGCGGCACCAGTTGGGGGCGAATTGGCCTCACACAGACCAAAAGGAGTTGAGGCCTCGAACCAGCACAGCCTCGATTCATGAGGCAGGCGAGTGTGTGATTGGTACATGGGCTTACACAACTCGTTACATTTGCACTCAGTCAGCATTCGGTCGGGTAGAGGAGAGTAGGGATAGGAGTGCCGGCGTCAAAGATGGGGAAAAATTGAGCGAATCCCATTTCGCGGGAAAAAGGGCTGGAAATCGTGCTGGATCCGCCAATAGACAAAATTAGAATAGCAAGAATCCCATTCTGTTGATGAGGTGAGTGAGAAAGTAAAAGAGGTTGTAAATCAAGACGGATGAGACAAAATATCAAAATAAAATGGTGTGAATCCCATCTTGTGAAGGGGGATAGGAGAAAGGAGAGTTGCTGGAAATCGTGCTGGATCCGCCAAAAGGCCAAAATAGAATAGCAAGAATCCCATCCTATTGGAGAGGTGAGTGAGAAAGTAACAGAGGCTGGAAATCATGACGGATCAGACAAAATATCAAAATAAAATGGTGTGAATCCCATCTTGTGATGTGGGAGAGGTAAAAGTATAAGTGGCTGGAAATTGTGCTAGATCCATCAGTAGACCAAAAAAAATAGCATGAATCTCATCCTGTTGAGGAGGTGAGAAAGGAAATGGGGCTGGAAATCAAGAAGGATCAGACAAAATATCAAAATAAAATGGTATGAATCACATCTTGTGATGTAGGAGAGGTGAAAGTATAGGATGCTGGAAATTATGCGAGATCAGCCAATAGATCAAAAGAAAATAGCATGAATTCCATCCTGTTGAGGAGGTGAAAAAGTAAATAGGGCTGGAAATAAGGACGGATCAGACAAAATCTCAAAATAAGTTGTATGAATCACAGATTTTGATGTAAGAGAAGTGAAAGTATATTAGGTTGGAAATAGTGCGAGAGCCACCAATAGACCAAAATAAAATAGCAAGAATCCCATCCTGTTGAGAAGGTGGGTGAGATAATTAAAGAGGATGGAAATCATGAAGGATCCGCCAGAAGTTATAAATAAAATAGAGTGATTCTCACATTGTGAAGTTGGATAGGCAAAATAGAAAGTAAAAAAGTCTGGAAATTGTACTGTATCCATTAACAAACCAAAATAAGATAGCATGAATCCCATCCTGTTGAAGAGGTAAGAAAGTAAATGGGGCTGGAAATCATGACGAATCAGACAAAATATCAAAATAAAATGCTATGAATCACATCTTGTTATGTAAGAGACGTGAAACTATAAGAGGCTGGAAATTGTGCGAGATCCTTCAAAAGACCAAAATAAAATAGCATGAATCCCATCCTGTTTAGGTGAGAAAGTATATTTAGCTGGAAATAAGACGGATCAGACAAAATAGCAATATAAGTGGAGTGAATTCCATCTTGCGATGTAGAAGACGTGAAAATATAAGAGGCTGGAAATCATGCGAGATCCGCCAATAAACCAAAAAAAAAATAGCATGAATCCCATCCTGTTGAGAAGGTGAGTGAGATAATTAAAGAGGCTGGAAATCATAAAGGATCCGCCAAGAGTTCAAAATAAAAAAGAGTGAATCTCACATTGCCAAGTTGGATAGGTGAAAGAGAAAGTAAAATAGTCTGGAAATTGTACTGTATCCACTAACAAACTAAAATAAAATAGCAAGAATCCTATTC